CTGTGAGCTCTCAGCCAGAGCCTTGGGACCTTTTCCCTGGAATTTCTGTTTCTGTTTCCCCGGATGTTCCTGGGAAAATAAGTTTTTCTATGGGACGAGCTGGGTCTACGTCCTATAGTTTAGCTTCCTTATGTGAGACTGACCAAAAAATGGCTCCTTTCCCTCCCAGAGCCCTGAACAAGGGGTGGAACCAAAGCTTAATGATGATGGACAGGTGACCTGCCCTATGATTGCAAACAGATAACAGAAAGAAAATAAAGTTGGAGCTCCTGGTACAGCTGTACCAGCACAGATATGCTTCTTAGACTGTGGTGTCCATGTAGGTTGGACTGCCTGCCATGGTCCTTTTCTTTGCAGATAACCTTTATTGCAAAGTAATTTTGAGCTGTGTCTCACTATGGTCATCTTTCCTGGGCCCTTCCAAAATGACACTTCTATGTTTATGTTGTACGCAGAAGCCCCAGCCTTGTTTGTGAAGAAGCTGGAAGCCAAAACGGTGGAGGAGAAGGAGACAGTGACACTAGAAGTAGAGCTCTCAAAGGCCACCACGGAGGTGAAGTGGGTGAAGAATGGCAGCCTGCTCCATTCAGATGCCAACATGGAGATCAAGGCCGAGGGGACAAAGCACAGCCTCGTGATAAAGAGTGCCGCCTGCGAGGACCGTGGTTTTTACGCCTGCGAGACCCTCCATGACAAGACCCAGGCAAAACTCACTGTGGAAAGTAAGTCAGAATTAGTCGTATAGGCAGATAGGCATTTCAGAAATGCAAATTATGCTTCTCAGGCAGTTGAGTGCCCATTATCTGGAAACCTGAAATATTCCAAAACTTTTTGCTGCTAGCTATCTATTTCCAACTTTGAGGAAAGGGGGCTAGTCACACACACAGGACATCCTTTCCATGCAGAAGGCCCTAGATCAGCATTTCTCAACCTTCCTAATGCTGCGACCCCTTAATACAGTTCCTCGTGTTGTGGTGACCCCCAACCATGATATTATTTTTGTTGCTACCTCATAACTGTAATTTTGCTCTTGTTATGAATTGTAAATAATACAAATATCTGATATGCAGGATATATTTTCATTCACTGGACCAAATTTGGCATAAATATCCAATACGCCCAAATTTGAATACTGGTGGGGTAGAGGGGATTGATTTTTGTCATTTGGGAGTTGTAGTTGCTGAGATTTCTAGTTCACCTACAATCAAAGAGTATTCTGGACTTCACTAACAATGGAACTGAACCAAACTTGGCTCATAGAACTCCCATGACCAATAGAAAATACTGGAAGGGTTTGGTGGGTATTGACCTTGAGTTTGGGATTTGTAGTTCACCTACATCCAGAGAGCACTGTGGACTTAAACAATGATGGATCTGGACCAAACTTGGAATGAATACTCAATATGCCCAAATGTGAACATTGGTGGTTTTGGGAGAAAGTAGACCTTGACACTTGGGAGTTGTAGTTGCTGGGATGTATAGTTCACCTACAATCAAAGAGCATTCTGGACTCCACCAACAATGAAACTGAACCAGACTTGGCTCACAGAACTCCCATGACCAACAGAAAATACTGGAAGGGTTTGGTGGGCATTGAGAGTTATAGTTCACCTACATCCAGAGAGCACTGTGGACCCAAATAGTGATGGATCTGGACCAAACTTGGCACAAATACTCAATATGCCCAAAATGTGAACACTGGTGGAGTGTGGGGAAAATAGACTATAACATTTGGGAGTTCTAGTTGCTGGGCTTTATAGTTCACCTACAGTCAAAGAGCATTCTGAACTCCACCAACGATAGAATTGGGCCAAACTTCCCACACAGAACCTCCATGACCAACAGAAGATACTGTGCTTTCTGATGGTCCTTGGCGACCCCTCTGACACCCCCTCGCAACCCCTCCAGGAGTCCTGACCCTCAGGTTGAGAAATGCTGCCCCAGATCCATTTCTAAGCATCCAATTGATATAGGGCTGGATTAGGCAGCTTTATTGGATCTAGGAATCACAGGACTATTTAGTATTGTGTGGATATGCTTAATTTTTAATATACTAATTTAGGTATGTAGCCCATTTCGTTATGTAGGAGTGACTGAGATCCCTTCTATACAGCTGTATAAAATCCACATTGGACTGGATTATATGGCAGTGTGGACTCAGATAACTCAGTTCAAAGCAGATATTGTGGATTATCTGCTTTGATATTCTGGGTTATTTGGGTGTGTGGAAGGGCCATGAGTTTGATTCCCAAGACAAAAAGTGCTTTTGCTTCTGTCTCCTACTGTACCGCAGCACAAACAGCTGCTTGGGTCATCCCTAAGTGTGTTGAGTTGGTGCTTTTTGCTAATCCCTTCCCCAAAATAACCCCAGTGTCTCTGTAAGCACATTCCCTATCATGAGGGATGGGATATCCATTGACCCAGTCCAAAGGTCAACCCTATAACAGGTATGCTGGAGTTTTTGGAATCCTTGCCACTTAGAGAGAAGATGTCAAAAAGGGGCCTTGCAAAGCCAGCCATAAATTTAGTCAAAGACAAATATGACTTTAGAGGGCAGAGCCTGGGAAAATACGTATATCAGAAAGATGGAAGCTGAAGAGCAAATTGCATGCTCACAGAACTGACTAGTCATTACTTGCTTTCTGAAAATTGTTCAATGTGCACAAACTTTGTTTCTTGCACAATTATTACAAGTGCCACATTTCTTTAAGTCTGAGAAAGTGTATATGAAATATAAATAAATTTTGTATCCCGATTTGGCTCGCATCTCCAAGACAGCTCATTGTGTACATAAATACAAATGCAGGTATTCTAAAAACTAGGGATAATATTCAGAATCTAAACTACTTATGGTCCCAGACATTTCAGATCAGGGATAATTCATAGAATCATAGAATCAAAGAGTTGGAAGAGACCTCATGGGCCATCCAGTCCAACCCCCTGCCAAGAAGCAGGAATATTGCATTCAAATCACCCTGACAGATGGCTATCCAGCCTCTGCAAGCTTGCTTCTTTAATTGAGGATGCATCTACATCTATTGAAGGAGCCCCCGGTGGCGCAGTGGGTTAAAGCACTGAGCTGCTGAGCTTGTTGATCGAAAGGTCGCAGGTTCGTTTCCGGGGAGCAGTGTGAGCTTCCGCTGTCAGCCCTAGCTTCTGCCAACCTAGCAGTTCGAAAACATGCAAATGTGAGTAGATCAATAGGTACCGCTCTGGCAGGAAGGTAACGGCGCTCCATGCAGTCATGCCGGCCACATGACCTTGGAGGTGTCTACGGACAACGCTGGCTCTTCGGCTTAGAAATGGAGATGAGCACCACACCCCAGAGTCAGACATGACTGGACTTAATGTCAGGGGACTACCTTTACCTTTACCTACCTACACCTATTGAAGTAATCTGGAGCGCTGTGCTCTGAAGCAGTGCCCAGGTATGGAACAAGAGTATTCCTTTGGGATTTGCGGTTTTATGGGCGACTTAAAATTCACTGCCAAAAAGCTTCACTGCCTCACAGAACTACATACCCCAGAATATGGTAGGTGTCAGGAGTCAATTTCTGACGGCATGAAGACATCACAAATTCCCTCCGTGACATCCTGACTGAATCATCCTGGCTGAATCAATTCTCTCTCTGTGACATTTTGAAGCCAGCAGAGGGTGCTGGAAACCTTGTATTGGAACTTGTGAAGCAACAAGTTCTAATAAGGAAACTGAGAAGAGGGGGAGATGGGCAGGAAAGGTGTATAAAAGGAAGTGGTGGTGGGAAAAAGTCAGTAGTGTCTTTCTTTGCTGCAGAGATGTAAGCAATATATCCATTTCAAAGCAAAACGGCTTGTGAGTGGTTATTTAATATTGCTATATAGATCCTACAATCTGACAGTACAGGTGGGGGTTATAACATTTAAAGTTATATTGAAATGGTATATGTGTGTAGTGTGAAAACAACAACAACAATGTATTACCTCCTTGTGATGCTCCTTATTATCTTCTTGTGATTTGAGGTGAGATACAACAGGATCAAAACACAGTTCTTAGGTCTTCTGTCTTGGCCATATTCTCAGAGTTCCTCTACTTCTTCCTCCTGTATTGTTTTCTTAGTTCAATTTCCAGAAGGGTTCCATATTCTCTTAAATGTAAGATCCATCTAATTCTTTATCACATGCTTTGTCCCTTCAGTGAGGCCCATCAAGGTGGTGAAGGGCTTGCAACCTATGGATGTCCACGAAAAAGACTCTGTCACCTTCGAGGTGGAGTTATCCCATGAAGATGTGGAAGGGACCTGGATGAAGGATGGCTTGAGGCTGAAGCCCAAGGAGAACTGCCTCATTAGCGCCAAAGGGAAGAAGCATTCGCTGACCCTCTCCAAACTTGCCATGGAGGATTCGTGTCTCATCGCCTTCAAGGCAGAAGGAGTTCACACCACAGGAAGACTTAACGTGAAAGGTAGGTGTCCTCTTCAAGAAGATGCTGTGGGCATTTCACTTCTGGTTCCAAAAAGGAAGACAGCAAATCCAGAGAGCAAGGAAGTTTGTATTTGAAGCAACAGCTATTGGGTGCACCATTTCCCTCCCCTCCAAATAGCAGCCCATGGATGACAAACAAAATGTTTACGTTTTTTGGAACCTTATCTTCTCTACGGTTGATTGGCTTAAAACATGTCATATAGGCACCAAAACAGTGGAGTGTCTGTCTCATTATCTCACCACTCTTTGCTGCTGTTCTGTTGATAAGATCTTACAAGGCACTGTTTCAATATATTATTTTTTTATTATCTGTAACTTCTAACAAGAAACACATTTCCACAATTACTTAGGCGACCCCTCATTGTCTGAGTAGGATTGTCTTCCAAGATCAGTGTCCTGGTGGTGGGTCCGTAGGTGACTGTGGAGCCCTATTCTTGATCTGCATCTTCTCCCGCAGTGAAGGGCATCGGTTTTCAGGTGGAAGTGAGGTCTGTTGGAACTAGGAAAAAGCGTTTATATATCTGTGGAATGACCAGGGTGAGACAAAGGACTCTTGTCTGCTGGAGCTAGGTGAATGTTTCAACTGTTGCAATTTTAGAGTTTTATTAAAAACTCTAGTATTATTCTCCAGTATTTAATACTCCAGTATTTAAAAACTCTAAAATTGCAACAGCACAACAACAGAGAGGAAGCAGGCAGGGACATCTAATTACCTCTCAACAAAAGTTTGCTCCAGGCACTGTCAGGCCATTGTATGCTAATCAAGGTGATCAGTTGAAACATTCACACCTAGCTCCAGCAGACAAGAGCCTTTTGTCTCACCTTGGTCATTCCACAGATATATAAACCCTTTTTCCTAGTTCCAACAAACCTCACTACCTCTGTGGATGCTTGCCATAGATGCAGGCGAAACGTCAGGAGAGAATGCCTCTAGACCATGGCCATACAGCCCGAAAAAACCTACAACAACCCAGGAACTATATTTCTCTCTCTTCACAGGAGGAGGCAAACCTCTCTCCCAGCCCAGCTGCACAGGGTGGGGAAAGATTCTTCTATACTCCAGGACTGATACCTATGGTTATGCTTTAACTGGAAGTTAACGTAGAATTGTTCTGGAGAAACTAGAAAATTCTTAGAAAAGATACATTGCTTGGGAATTTGCTAGGTTGTCCAGGAAGACTCTATAGTAACTTCCAGAAGTAGCAATTTCTGGATATGGAAGTTGTATTATAGGAAGTACGTCTTTCTAGCTCCTTCTAGAGATGCTGTCATACTAATTGTCAACCCAAATTTTGGAGACTTGAATATGGGTTTTGGTGATAACTCTGGTTTTATTGCCACAAAGCAACACTTTTATTGTGTATCTAACCTGACTGTTGGAATATCTCATGCTCATCTCATGATGTCTTTCTGTCTTTCACAAACCCAGGGCTCCTTTTCATTCTCTCCCCTCTTTCTTTTCCTTTCAGAAAGTCCAGTGAAAATAATCAAACCTCTGGTAGATCTCAAAGCTCAGCACAAGGATAACGTCACCTTTGAGTGTGAACTGTCCCGGGCTAATGCGGAAGTGAAGTGGCGTAAGGTAATAAATTCATTTCAAAGGAATAGGTTACGAAGTTAATTGTCTTTCTGAGTTTTGCAAAAAGTAGAAGAGTTTTGCTTCTTGATCCAGTTGCCTGTAATGAATCCAATAGCAATTGCAGTTGAATAAATGGAAGATGATTGAAGTTAAATGAGCTAAGAATTAGTATGCCAATTCATCCATAATGCATATAATGAATGAATATTACAATGTTTATATAAAGTGATGGTTTCTAGACCTTGAGCCATTTTGATTGTCTTCCTCTGGACACCTTCGGGCTTTGTTATATTCTTCTTGACTATTACCTGTCTCTGAACCCTACGAGATATTCTCTCCTCCGTGACATTTGTGACATTTTCATATTACGCTATGTAAGAAAATTAGAAAAATGTTCTGTTCCCTGTTCGAAAATATTATTTCCTGTTTAATTGTGCAGTACTTACTTTGAAAGTGGTTGTTAGACTCCAGAAACTTCATTTTTGTGGCACAAACTATGTTGAATTGGTTGAAACAATGGCTTCAAACTACAAGAGAGGAGATTCCATCTGAACATGAGGAAGAACTTCCCGACTGTGAGAGCCATTCAGCAGTGGAACTCTCTGCCCCGGAGTGTGGTGGAGGCTCCCTCTTTGGAAGCTTTTAAACAGAGGCTGGATGGCCATCTGTCAGGGGTGATTTGAATGCGAAATTCCTGCTTCTTGGCAGGGGGTTGGACTGGATGGCCCATGAGGTCTTTTCCAACTCTTTGATTCTATGATTCTATGAGACACAATGAGATATTCATTGGAAAACCATAGCAAAATGTGCTGCAGGATGTCCTTCCCACAAAAACAAAGTTATAATAATATAATAAAACTTTATTTATATACCATTCTATCTCCCCAAGGGGACTCAGAGAGGTTCCCAGGTAGCATCACTAAACATACAAAGTAAAACGACATAACCATAAGATTAAACAAAAAAATATAAGCATAAAAATCATCACCATAACACACATATATTAAGAGTAATCCTGCCTGTTCAAGGCAATTTAAAAATTTAAAAGGTCGGGCCAAGATTTATGCAAGCCCCAAAATTCTAGGGGCCTGGGAATTAAGTGCAATTCTATGGCAGGCAACAATAATATTAGATAGGGGTCTGTGGCTGTTCATTCCGGGGCCGATGAGAGGAAGTGATCTGGGTAATTGGTAGGAAGAATAAGGCCATATTCGACAACGTGTAAGACTGAGTTAGAACTGGTCATTTTCAAAGGCTTGTTGAAGCCACCAGGCCTTAAAGGTCTTACGAAAGGAGGGGAGGGATGGGGCCGGTCTTATTCCCCTTGGCAGGGTGTTCCAGAGGCGTGGAGCCACCACTGAGAAGGCCCTCTCTCTCATCCCCACCAACCGTGCTTGTGACGGAGGTGGGACCGAGAGGAGGGCTTCCCCGGAAGATCTTAGAGCTTGTGCCGGTTCATAGAAGGAGATGCAATAGTGGAGATAGGCAGGGCCCGAACTGTCTAGGCTTTATAGGTCATGACTTACACCCTGAATTTGGCTTGGCAACTTATTGGCAGCCAATGAAGCTGTTTTAATAAGGGTGTTGTATGCTCCCTATAGTTTGCTCCAGTAAGGAGCCTGGCTGCCGCCTGTTGTACCAATTGAAACTTCTGTGCCGTCTTCAAGGGCAGCCCCATGTAGAGCGCATTGCAATAGTCCAGTTTGGATGTAACCAAGGCGTGGACCACCCTGGCCAAGTTTTTTGCAGTTTAATCAACTTTCCCCATGTTTTTATGATAGAACCAATTAGGAAATGACATTGATAACCCAGGAACAAAAGTCATGTTACGTTATTATTAGATTACTAGCTGTACCCGCCACGCATTGCTGTGGCCAACCTTCCCTCTTTCTCTCCTTCTTTCCCTCCTTCCTTCACTCCCTCTTTCCTTCCTTCCTTCCTGTCTTTCCTTCTCTTCTTCCTTCCTTCTCTATCTCTTTCCTTCCTCCCCCCTTTTTCTTTCTCTTCTGCTGTTTCTCTTTTCTTCCTTCTCTCTTTCCTTCTCTCCCTCTTTCTCTACATCTTCCCCCCTTCCTTCGCTCCCTCTTTCCTTCCTTCTTTCTCTCCCTCCTTCTCTAACTTTCCTTCCATCCCCCTTTTTCTTTCCCTCCCTCTTTCTCTCCTTTCTTCCTTCTCTACCTCTTTCCTTCCTTCTCTCTTTGCTTCCATGTTTCCTTCTCCCTTTCCTTCTTTCTTTCTTGCTTTCCCTCCCTCCTTCCTTTCTTTCTTTTCCCTCCCCTTCCCTCCCTCTTTCTTCCCTTTTTTCTGTATTGTCATTTAGCTTTTCGGGGCTTTTTAAGTCCCTTCTGCTGTGTTTTTCAGTGTTTTTATGAGTGAAGGACATACATTGGGTTGTTAGGTGTCTTGTGTCCAAATTTGGTGTCAATTCCCCCAGTGGTTTTTGAGTTCTGTTAATCCCACAAACGAACATTACATTTTTATTTATATAGATTTTGTCTGTCCTCGTATTCCTTCAAATGTTCACTCTCAGTCTGAGAAATCATTAACAACTGTTATAAGGTCCTGGATATTGGACTTAATTATATCTTACTTGGGGAAAAAAAGCTTTACGAAGTTTGGAAGTATGCTAAATGAGAGAATATAGTACATTCTGGTTTTGACAAAACAAGAGCACATGATTCTATCTAATCTGTGAAGAGCTTGCAATTGCCGACTCAAATTTGAATGTTTCCCTTCTAGGATGGCACTGAGCTTCGGCCAAATAAAAGAATCGTAATGGTGGCCCGGGGGACGAAGAGAAGCCTCACCATTCACAAATGTGAATACGAAGACCGAGGGAAATATATGTGCGATGCGGATGATGACAAGAGCACTGCTGCCTTGGAGATCCAAGGTATGTTTCCATGGCAAGAATGAATACTTTCAAGATGTTCATAATTATAGCCAGCTTACCAATACATATCTGTGACTGTCATGCTAACATGAAAAAAATGGGATGCCAATAAAGTGCTATTGGTCAATGTCACTCCCCTCCAGCACAACTCAATGGTCAACTTCCACTGGATGTTGAGCATAGAATTGCACCAGAGGACCTACAAAGTGAGAAGTGATCTCTTTAGCAATCTCTAGGTCCTGCTTTCTGCTGGAAGACCTATATATTCTTTAAATCAAATTGGCAAATTAACCTGCAAAAGTTACATTCACAAATATGGAGGGCCAACTGCACGAATTTATTATTTATTTATTTACAGTATTTATATTCCGCCCTTCTCACCCCGCAGGGGACTCAGGGCAGATTACAATGTACACATATATGGCAAACATTCAATGCCAAAGACACACAACAGATACAGACAGACAGTCTGAGGCTATTTAACTTTTTCTGGCTGCCAGGGGAGCTGTCGCTTTCATCATCCAACTGCAACACTGATGAAGTACTTCCACATTCCCCGCATGCTTTTTGCTGGAGTGCTTTGCTGGAGTCTTTTTTATGGCCTCATAAATTAGTTAATTAGCCTCCCCACACATAGGTGGTACCTAATTTTCCTACTTGACAGATGCAACTGTCTTTCGGGTTGTAAAGGTCGACAACAAGCTACACAATTGGTCGGAAGCTCACTCTGACCCGGGCTGGCTTCGAACTCATGATCTTGTGGTCAGAAGTGATCTTAATGGAGCTGACGCTCAGCCAGCTGTGCCACAATCCCGGTTGATGTTCTAAGTCTTGTGTCCTATTTGGTTTGCAGAGGATGCATCGACGTTGTAGATTTAATACATTTTGACACCACTTTATTTTTTATTTATGTATTTAATTTATGAATTTATATTCTGCCCTTCTCACCCTGAAGGGGACTCAGAGTGGCTTACAATATATTTCTATATCTATATCTATATCTATATATATATATATATATATATATGTTATATTATTAGCATAGTACAATATCAGTATTAAATATTACTATATTGTAATATACCATTATATTGTAATATTATTAGTAATATTACATGTAATATAAATATATAATTATAATCTCATATTATTATTAGTAATATATTGCATTGCATTATAATATTATAAATATTATATGTATATACAATATATTACATTATATTATATTATATTATATTATATTACTAGCCGTCCCCTGCCATGCGTTGCTGTGGCCCACATGGAGGTTCTGTGTGGGAGGTTTGGCCCAATTCTATCATTGGTGGGGTTCAGAATGCTCTGTGATTGTAGGTGAACTATAAATCCCAGCAACTACAACTCCCAAATGTCAAGATTCTATTTTCCCCAAACTCCACCAATGTTCACATTTGGGTATATTGAGTATTCGTGCCAAGTTTGGTCCAGATCAATCATTGTTTGAGTCCACAGTGATCTCTGGATGTAGGTGAACTACAACTCCCAAAGCAAACCCTTCCAGTATTTTCTCTTGGTTATGGGAGAACTGTGTGCCAAGTTTGGTTCAATTCCATCATTGGTGGGGTTCAGAATGCTCTTTGATTGTAGGTGAACTATAAATCCCAGCAACTACAACTCCCAAATGACAAAATCATTTTTTGAGTGAAGGACATACATTGGGTTGTTAGGTGTCTTGTGTCCAAATTTGGTGTCAATTTGTCCAGTGGTTTTTGAGTTCTGTGAATACCACAACGAACATTACATTTTTATTTATATTGATTAGCTTAGCACAGGAGACAAGGTGGAACTTTCAGTGCCATAGTTCTTTGCAGTGCAATCATGGAAGTTGTAACTTGGTGAGACTATTTGCCAGAGAATGCTAAGGACATTGCAGAACTATAACTCCCAAGATTCCATAGCTTTGAGGTAAGGCAGTTAAAGTAGTGTCAAACCACATTAATTCTATAGCATAGATGCACCTAAAGTTGGAAGGAATGTGTTTTTTTGGGTTCAACTAGTATTGGAAAGGAGAAGCAACAAATATGCCACAATGAGCATGTCTCTGTGTCTCTTCAGCCCGAGACATCAAGATTGTGAAGCCGCTTGAAGACTTGGAAGTGAGCGAGAAAGAAAGCGCGTCGTTCCTCTGTGAGATTTCGCACGATGAGGTGGAAACGCAGTGGTTCAGCAACGAACACAAAATCCGGGCAGGAGACAACATCAAGTTGCGTCAAGATGGTAGGGAAAAAGTCAACGGGTGGCCAACTTTTTAGGCGGTTGTATGTTGTGAACAAAATGTTGGGGAAAGCAATGACGAGGGACTTGATTTGTTTAGACTTGCTGAACATGCAGATGCAAGGAATATTTGGATTTGTTTGACATTGAGTGTCCTGGTGGCGTTGAGTGTTCTTCACTTAGAGAAATATTTTCCAAGATGCCCTATTAAGTCCCATTGAACACTCAATAGCAATCCTAAACAAACTTATCATGATATTTTGTTAGCAGGATTTTCCTTTGCTTTCCACCCTCAAAAACTTTAATAGACCTATTAATTGATTTCACCCACGGATTTTCCTTTGCAGGAAAGAGCTACCAGCTTGTCTACAGAAGCGTGGAAGTGGAGGACTCAGCGGAGATCAAATTTGTTGCCGAAACGGCAGAATCTCGAGCAAAACTTAAAGTGAAAGGTAAGGATTAGTATTTCCTAACTTGGGAAATTCTCAAAGACCCAGAATAGAAATCGTTGTTTGGTCACTTATTTATTTATTTATCGTGTCAGGAGCGAACCAGAACAGTTATAAACAAACAAAACACAAAGTTTGCAGACTTGGTATTCTATTAAATGTCCTTTGACCAGTATCTGGCCACTTGGAGTGCCTCTGGTGTTGCTGCAAGAAGGTCCTCCATTGTGCATGTGGCAGGGCTCAGGGTGCATTGCAGCAGGTGGTCTGTAGTTTGCTCTTCTCCACACTCACATGTCATGGATTCCACTTTGTAGCCCCATTTCTTAAGGTTGGCTCTGCATCTTGTGGTGCCAGAGCGCAGTCTGTTCAGCGCCTTCCAAGTTGCCCAGTTTTCTGTGTGCCCAGGGGAGAGTCTCTCATTCGGTTTTATTTATCATGTCAGGAGCAACCAGACAGTTGTATTACATTTTTAACAAAACAAACAGACAAAACACAAAGTTTGCAAGCTTGGTAGTTGATTAAATGTCCTTTGACCAGTAGCTGGCCACTTGGAGTGCCTCTGGTGTTGCTGCAAGAAGGTCCTCCATTGTGCATGATGCAGGGCTCAGGTTGCATTGCAGCAGGTGGTCAGTGGTTTGCTCTTCTCCACACTCGCATGTCGTGGATTCCACTTTGTGGCCCCATTTCTTAAGGTTGGCTCTGCATCTCGTGGTGCCAGAGCGCAGTCTGTTCAGTGCCTTCCAAGTCACCCAGTTTTCTGTGTGCCCAGGGGGGAGTCTCTCATTTGGTATCAGCCATTGATTGAGGTTCTGGGTTTGAGCCTGCCACTTTTGGACTCTCGCTTGCTGAGGTGTTCCAGCGAGTGTCTCTGTAGATCTTAGAAAACTATTTCTTGATTTAAGTCATTGGCGTGCTGGCTGATACCCAAACAGGGGATGGGCCGGAGATGTCTCTGCCTTGGTCCTTTCACTATTGGCTGCTACTTCCCGTTGGATGTCAGGTGGTGTAATACCAGCTAAACAGTGTAATTTCTCCAGTGGTGCAGGGCGCAGACACCCTGTGATAATGCGGCATGTCTCATTAAGAGCCATCCACTGTTTTAGTGTGGTGAGATGTGTTCCACACTGGGCATGCATACTCAGCAGCAGAGTAGCATAGCGCAAGGGCAGATGTCTTCACTGTGTCTGGTTGTGATCCCCAGGTTGTGCCAGTCAGCTTTCGTATGATATTGTTTCTAGCACTCACTTTTTGCTTGATATTCAGGCAGTGCTTCTTGTAGGTCAGAGCACGGTCCAGAGTGACTCCCAGGTATTTGGGTGTGCTGCAATGCTCCAGTGGGATTCCTTCCCAGGTCATCCTCAGAGCTCGGGATGCTTGTCTGTTCTTAAGGTGAAAGGCACATGTCTGTGTTTTAGATGGATTAGGGATCAGCTGGTTTTCCCTGTAATAGGCAGTAAGAGCACCTAGAGCTTCGGAGAGCTTCTGCTCAACCACCGCAAAGCTTCCTGCTTCAATGGTAATGGTTTGATCACTGAATGGGATGGCCACTTAAATGAATTAATTTTGAAATAACCTAGTGTGACATACTGAGAAAGAACATATCTAGATGGTAAAATTAACACAGTTTGACACTGATTTGAACTGCCATGGCTCAATGCTGTGACATTCTGGGAATTATAGTTTTACAAGGTGTTTTGCCGTCTTTGCAAAATCCAGGATTTCATAGCATTGAGCTATCTAGTGTTCACTCTTTCACTTGCAAGTTTTGAGAAGACCACTTTTCAACCATTTCCAGTTTCTGATAACTCTTTGGTTCTTAACTTGCCAAATTAGTAGGTTTAGGCCTATATATGGAACTCTTTGAATTCCTTAAAATATTGTCCAAATGAGAAGTATTACTATTTCTTTATCTTCCTTCAGAATTGCCTGTACGGTTTGTGAAACCCCTGCGCGTGAGGATCGCCATTGAGAAGCACCGGGGCTTTCTGGAGTGCCAAGTGTCTCGGGCCAACGCGGAGGTCAAATGGTACAAGGATAACAAGGAGATCCATCCGGGCCAGAAGTATGAGATGGTGAGCGACGGGGTCTACAGGAAGCTCCTCATCAACGAGGCCGAATTTGAGGACGAAGGAATCTATACCTGTGATGCAACTGATGAGAAGAGCACTGCTCAGTTCTACGTGGAAGGTAACAACCTGATTTTTGGTTGAAATATGGGTCTGGAGACCTCCAGAACAGAGCAGTACACATGGTGATGAGCTGGTGATGGGGATTCATGGCACATAAAAGAGTATTTTTTATGTTTAGTCATCAGTCCTGTTCATTTGCCCTTTCTTTGCCATACCTTTCTTGGTCCAGGTTGCTAAATGGAATAAGCTGGACAAATCAATAAAATTTTAAGGAAGTTTGCTTCTGGGTTGTTGTGAGTTTTCCGGATTGTATAACTATGTTCCAGGAGCATTGCCTCCTAACGTTGGAACATGGTCATTGTTCTGGTACGGCTGTACCAGGAGCTCCAACTCTATTTGCTTTGTATTAAATGTTTGCTTGCAGTCCAAGGTTTCAGGGACTCTGCAGAAAGGTGGCTTCCTTTGGTTGCAGTCATAGGGCAAGTCACCTGTCCATCATCGTTAAGTTTTGGTTCCGCCCCTTGCTCAGGGCAATTGGGAAGGGAAGGGAGCCATTTTTTAGTTAGCAAGGAAAGCTAATGTACAGGACCTGTGCAAGCTTCCCCTGTACAAAAGCTTCAACCCTTAAGACCTTACGGGGAAGAACAGTCTTAAGAGTCTCCAAAGATTTCCAGGGAAACAGCCCTAAAGACCAAAGAACTCCAGCTGGAGAACATCTAAGCCTTTACTGGTAGGTCCACTCGGCATTTGAGAAGCAGTTCGACCCGGTAGCAGAGCCCACATCAGTAAGGGTTAGATTACAGTCAGCCTGGGAGAAGTTAAAAAGGGGATTTTCCTTTAAAGTAAAGAAGAAGTTATTGAAGACAGTTGCCTGTCCTTCGTGGGCAAGATTAGGAACTCACCAGTTGCATAAAGCCTGGAAGCATTTGTTTAGCTTTATTGAAGACAAGAGAAGTTTCTGTTTGATTGTTCATTAATAAAAGACTTTGTTATACTTCACAAGCCATCTAAAGATCATTTGTAGTGGAAAACCTCTGAGAACTTCTCTTTGGGCCCCCTGGCTTCCCGCTGGGCAAAGGTTGCACGTCCTGTTCTAAAGGAAATTATTTACAGGCCTAGCAACGACAGAACAGTCATATAGCCTGAAAAACTCACAGCAACTCAGTGATTCCGGCCATGAAAGCCTTTGACAACAACTTTGCTTCTTTGCCTCAGGAAATTTCAACAGCTTTGCAGTCAATTTGCACATTCACTTAAGTATAAAATTGTCATCCAAAATGATCCAAGTTTGCTGTAAATCCAAATTTGCAACATGTGCAAGCTCTGTGGTTTTGACACTTTGCATTCCACACTTTTTGTTCCTGAGTTATACATATCATTTCCGAATTGGGTCTATCATAACAACATGGAAAAAGTTTATTAAACTGCAACAATGTTGTTTTGGTGGGACATCCTGCAGCACATTTTGCTATTGTTTTTCAATGAATATCTTATTGAGTCTCAATCACTTGAATCTAGTTTGTGGCAGCCACAAAAACGAAGTTTCTGGAGTAGAACAATGACTTTCAAAGTAAGGACTGCACAATTAACCAGGAATTAACACTTTCAAACCAGGAACTGAACATTTTTTCAAATTTTGTTACATAGTTTTATTGAATTTTGTTTTTCCTAAGGGACTGTGGAAATGTAAGCCTTGTTAGGAAAACAAACCTACTGTTGATATGTCTATTGGATGAAAATGCTTTGAAGTCTCATCTGTTCGTTGTCTGTGCTCCTTTAAGGAACCATAATAATAATAATAATAATAATAATAATAATAATAATAATAATCCTTTATTTATATCCTGCTAACATCTCCCGAAGGACTCGGTGCGGCTTACAAGAAACCAAGGCCCAACACATCAATAAAACAACAGCATAACAAATACAACAACAAATAAACTCATAAACTCATAAAACAAAACAATAAGCATTAAAAGACTAGTAGTAAACATTAGACAATAACACCACGACGCATTTAAAACTAAGGCCGGGCCAAATGTAATGATTAAAAAATTTAAAATGCTGGACATGACAGGTGAGATAGATTTTGGAGATAGGTGCGGTGTGCAGACAATCTTAAATCTCTAGTAAAGTGCATTTGGGACATGATGCTAGGAGTTTCCTATTCTGGGAAGGCACACTGGAACAACCACGTCTTCAAGCTCTTCCTAAAGACTGCCAATGTTGGGGCTTGTCTGATGTCCTTGGGGAGAGAGTTCCAGAGTCGGGGGGCCACCACGGAGAAGGCCCTGTCCCTCGTCCCCACCAATCGCGCTTGCGACGCAGGTGGGATCATCACCATCATCACCATCATCACCCATTGACATATTCTTAAAAAGCAGTTTAAGCCCTTGAAGAGTGATAGGGGATTATTGGTAGTCCTTTGCTTTGTCTGGATCCAGAAGCAACATCAGTCAGTATAGGTTGTGCATTATTTGTCCAAAATTCTCCAAAATACTCCAAATTATGAAATCATGGGTTGCTGAGATAGTGGCAAGTTTGCTTTCTGATCGCCCAGTGTTTCCAAACATTTGTTTCTTGGACACAATTATTAATTAATTAATTAATTAGAATTAATTAATTGATTGATTAATTAGACTTAAATAATTGATTAATTAGGCTTAATTAATTAATTGAATAATTAAATATTAATCAATCAATTAATTAGACTTAAATAAATAAATAAATATTTGGGTTGTTGTAGGTGTTTCCGGGCTATATGGCTATGTTCTGGAGGCAATTTTTCTCCTGACGTTTCACCTGCATCTATGGCAAGCATCCTCAGGATGCTTGCCATAGATGCAGGCGAAACTCAGGAGAAAAATTGCCTCCAGAACATGGCCATATAGCCCGGAAAAACCTACAACAACCCAGTGATTCCGGCCATGAAAGCCTTCGACAATAAATAAATATTTAATTATTAATTATTAATTAATTATTAATTAGGCGTAGTATACCTTCGGATTATTTGTATAAAGCGTCTATGAAATGGAAATGTATTCCATGGTTAGGCTTGGGTCCCATCTCCGACATATTTCATCATAAACATATATAGAATCAAAGAGTCATAAATGCATGGAGCTGGAAGAGATCACAAGGGCCATTTACTCCAACTCCCTGTCATGCAAAGACAGGAATTCCAAAAGCTGGAAAAATCCAGTATCCCAAACCCTTGTGGTCCGAGGACTTTTGGATAAGTAGATGGGACAGGCAAGCAACGTTTCTCTTTGGTTCCTTCTGGTTCTTCCTTTCAGAGCAATCCATTAATATTGTGAAGGAGCTGAAAGACGTTGAGGTGATTGAGCCAGCGGAAGCCAGGTTTGAGTGTGAGATCTCCATTCAGTCGGTGAAGCCTCCCAAGTGGTCCTTACGTGGGGAGGTCCTCCAAGCCAGCAAGGACATTTTGATAGAGCAAGAAGGGAAGATCCACCGCCTGATCTTGAGAAAGACTGACGTGGACATGACCGGCACCATCCAGCTTGCCATTGGCAAATCCAAATCCTCAGCCAACCTGGTTGTGAAAGGTAAATTGCTAGTTGCTTTGCAGTTGAAATTACGATGGATTGTTCCAGGGCTTGTGTACGTGACTCCATTTTGAAACAGATATGGCCAGCTAAATTTATGTCCTTCTACCTGGGTAAAATGCATTGCGATTTATTCCTTTTATAGCAGTGGTTCTCAACCTTCCTAATGCTGCGACCCCTTAGTACAGGTCTCATGTTGTGGTGACCCCCAACCATAACATTATTTTCACAACCGTAATTTTGCTCCTGTTATGAATCGTAATGTAAATATCTGATATGCAGGATTTATTTTCAGTCACTGGACCAAATTTGGCACAAATACTCCATACGCCCGAATTTGAATACTGGTGAGGTTGGGGGTGATTGATTTTGTCATTTGGTAATGCTGGAGTTGCTGGGATTTATAGTTCACCTAAAATCAAAGAGCCTTCTGAACTCCACCAATGATGGAATTGAATCAAACTTGGCACACAGAATTCCCATGACCAAGAGAAATACTGGAAGGTTGGTGGGCATTGACCTTGAGTTTTGGAGTTGTAGTTCACCTACATCCAGAGAGCACTGTGGACTCAAACAGTGATGTATCTGGAGCAAACTTGGCATGAATCTTCAATATGCTCAAATGTGAATCTCAAAAAATTATGATTTTGTAATTTGGGAGTTGTAGTTGGGATTTATAGTTCACCTACAATCAAAGAGCATTCTGAACCCACCAATGATAGAATTGGCCAAACTTCCCACACAGAACCCCCATGACCAACAGAAAATACTGTATTTTCTGATGGTCTTTGATGATCCCTCTGACACCCCCTCACGACCCCCACAGGGGTCCTGACCCCCCAGGTTGAGAAACACTGTTTTATAGCATCAAGAATATGCTATATTGTGGCTCTTCAATCATTTCCAACATATGGTGATTCCAAGATGATGCTATCATAGGATTTTCTTGGCTAGCATTGTCCAGGAATTTGCTTCTCAGGCTGGGAAAGTGTGTCTTGGTTGGGGTTTTATGACAAAGTGAGGATTCAAGAGTCTTAATCTCTAGAGTAGGCATGGGCAACTTTGGCACTCCAGCTGTTTTGGACATCAACTCCCACAATTCCTAACAGCCGGTAGGAGTTGAAGTCCAAAACACCTGGAGGGCCAAAGTTTGCTCATATCTGCTATTAGTCCAATACTCAAATCAGTAAGTTATGCTGGTTCTCTCCAATGGAGCTTTATGAACTAAAATTCAATGCAGAGGAGAAAAAACAAGGGACGTGGATGGGAGAGAATGTAAACAAGGGGAAGAATTGTCAGAGTTTTATATTGTTTATGTCATTTCTTAAGTGAAAAATGGGTAAGTAATTGTAAGAATCATGTCCAATCATTGTATGGCCAGCAACAATCAAGCCAGCTGTGGAAGCTTAGGTACTACTCCCGAAGGATTCGATATGGCTTACACAGGCCGAGGCCTCAACACACAACACAACAATACAATCTAAGCAAATCAAACAATTTAAAACAGAATAAAGCAAAGTAAACAACAGGCACAATACACTAAAACACAATAAAACTGGGCCGGGCCAGAAAATGGGTACAAAGATTAAAAGTACTGATGTGACAGGAGGTGTATATAGGGCTTCTAGGGCAAGTGCGATGTGCGATGTGCAGCAATCATTGGTTCTGATAAAGTGCTTATGGGACTTCTGCTTTGCTAATCTCCGAGTGATCTTGGGACATTCCTGGAAGGCTCAGACAGGCTCTAACCCAAGATTGAACTGTGGACATTACACACTGTATATTTTCTTGATGCAAAAGAGATAGTGATTGAAAGGATCCAGTTGTGTTTTAGGGGGAAAAAATCAGAATTTAGTGTTATATAAAAAACTTGAGGAGCCCCCAGTGGCACAGCACATTAAACCGCAGAGTTGCTGAACTTGCTGACTGAAAGGTTGGCAGAATCCAGGGAGTGGAGTGAGCACCTGCTATTAGCCCCAGCTTCTGCCAACCTAGCAGTTCAAAAACATGCAAATGTGAGTACATCAATAAGTATCACTCCGACGAGAAGGTAACAGCATTCCATGGAGTCATGCTGGCCACATGATCTTGGAGGTGTCTACAGACAACACCAGCTCTTTGGCTTAGAAATGGAAATGAGCACTACCCCCCCCCCCCCCCCCAAGTGTTGGACATGACTAGACTTAATGTCAGGGGAAAACCTTTACCTTATTATATTATTATAATATTATTATCAATATTATATGTGTATACAGTATATTAAATTATTAGCACAGCACATCAGTAATATATTAATACTATAATATATTAATATATAAGCCTTAAAGTGTCAATTTGAATAGCAATAAAAGTGCAATGGCTCATTGGCTGTTTTGTTCTCTTCCCTACTAACATGTTTAAGATTCTTCCACAGTAATTTGGCATGGTATATATCAGGGGTCCACAAACTTTTTAAACAGAGGGCCAGGTCATAGTCTCTCAAACTGCTGGAGGGCCGGATTATAATTTGGAAAAAAATGAATGAATTCCTCAGTTCTTGTGGGTTTTTTCGGGCTATATGGCCATTTTCTAGAGGCATTTCTCCTGACGTTTCACCTGCATCTATGGCAAGCATCCTCAGAGGGAGTGAGGTCTGTTGGAATTAGGACAATGAGTGTATGTTTTTTGGTGCATGAAAGTATTTGTGGTGCAAAAAAAACCCCTTGAAAACAATACAATAATTACAATGAAGAACAATTTTAACAAATATAAACTTATTAGTATTTCAGTGGAAGTGTGGGGTTGCTTTTGGCTGATGAGATAGGGTTGTTGTTGTTGTTGTGTGCTTTCAAGTCATTTCAGACTTAGGTTGACCCTGAGCGAGGGCCGTGTAAATGACCTTGGAGGGCCGTATCGGCCCCCCGGGCCTTAG